TGTGTGTGTGTGATTAGACTTGTTGCCGGAAATAGAAAAATAGATAAATGAGAGACAGAAATCAGTGGTGTCTGTACAGGAAAAGGTGACAATAATAAATGGCTACTCTAGACGAACGCACACGGGCAATGATTCGAAATCATCTTATCACCAGTATTCTTACTGATACTGCGGATTGGCAAAGGGGCCAGAGAGTGGCGTCGACGAGGAGGCGTCAATACCGGCGACGGCACCCAGCTGAGTGGGATCTTCCAGGGGATTCTGGGGCTTGAACTGCTCTGAGGTGTAGCGCATAAAGAGAATGCCCATGCCCTCGATCAGCGCCAGGAGGACGCCGCCGATGATTGCTGAGCCGACCATTGCACCTGCTCCATCTGTAAACACAAAAAGTGGTAAAAAAGCCATCAGCAGTACTATCACGTGTGTACTTACTTCTCACTGAGAGTATCGCGCCGGTGAGTGCGCCCGAGGTGATGGAGTTCCAGGGATCCTCCTTCTTGCGCAGGTAAATCATCGTACAGTCAATTGTACTGAAGAGGCCGCCCCAGACGGCGAAGTTGCCGCCAATGACGGGCGCCCGGGTGCGCACGGTGGACCACGATCCAGCCAGTCGACGGCTGAAGCCGCTGGGCGCATTGCGAAAGCCCTTGATCGACTGAAAGACGCCGCCGCCGATGGCGCCCATGGTGAAGGCGCCGCCGCAGTCGTCCACGATTCGCCACGGACAGGGCTCTCGGGCGTACTCCTCCATCAGATCAGCTGGTCCTCCTTCGGTTCACTTGAGCGGGGGGATCAAATCGGAAGGCGTACAGATCAACTTACACAGGTACGCAGCAGCTGATATTGCTGGTGGTGGTGAAGTTCACGTACCAAACACACGCGAGGTTGCATCAGTGCATGGCACGGCAGGCGCTGAGGCACAGGCAGCTGCCGGTCGCAGATGACATGCCACTGCTAGGGGAACGGCGAAGCATAAAGCGACCACGCTGTGAGGGGCACTCTTCTTCTTCAGCAGCAGCAGTGGACAGAAAATCTCTTCGCCAGGCCGAGTAGTCTTCACTGGTGTTGTGTTCACTGCAGTGGCACACTATTGTTTTGATAGAGACCTCCGTCCGGTGGAACCTGGTCGCCGCCGTCGCCGCCGCATCA